AAAAATCTAGTAGGTATCGACTGGATGCAAAATTTCAACATTTGGGATCTACCTATCAGCTCTTTTTGCAAAAAGTTAGAGGTTGAACCATCAGATGCTATAAAATTAAAGGAAGAATTATATAACCAATTTCCTGAGGTATTTTTGAGCGGGTTGGGACAATGCAACAAATTTGAGGCCAGAATTGAATTAAAAGAAAATGTCCAACAAATTTTTAAAAAGAGGCGAAATGTACTGTTCGCTAATATAGAAAAAATAGACAAAGAATTGGAGAGACTTGAACAAACTGGGATTCTTTCAAAAATAGAGTTTAGTGAGTGGGCGGTGCCGGTGGTTTATGTAAAAAAGAAATCAGGAGAAATCTGCGTATGCACAGATTTTTCGATGGGACTTAACAAGGCTGTAAAAGACCATCATTACCCACTACCGATCCCAGAGGATATATTTACAAAGCTCAACGGCGGTAAGATATTTTCAAAAATAGATCTAAGTGTGGCTTATCTACAAATCCCAGTACAAGAAAAGAGTACGAAAATCCTTTGCATTAATACGCACAAAGGGTTGTACAAATTCAACAGACTACCATTCGGAGTAAAAGTTGCACCAGCAATTTTTCAGCAAATGATGGACACAATGCTCATGGGCCAGAATTTCGTAACCGCTTATCTGGATGACATTCTAATTAAGAGCGACTATGTTGAAGAGCAAACATCACACATAAAGGAAGTTTTCAGAAGACTTCAGGACTTTGGGTTCAAAGTAAAAGGAGAAAAGTGTGATTTTTTCCTAAATGAAATTAAATACTTAGGTCAGATAATAAATGAAAATGGCAGGAAACCGGACCCAGAGAGGGCATCAGCAATTAAAAATATGCCTGAACCAAAAAATGTTGCAGAACTACAAAGTTTCCTGGGCCTAGCTAACTACTATGTCGAATTTATTGATAATATGCTCCACTGAGGGCTCCACTAAATGAGTTACTAAAAAAGAAGAATAATTGGAATTGGACAGAGGACTGTAAAAAAGCATTTAATAATATAAAATAATACAAAATTAATTTGTCACAACGTTTCGGAGTAGTACGCTCCCGCCTTCTTCATTGACTGAACATTTCGATCCCGAACTCTAAATTATTATTGTCAGTTATCAGTGCTAATTTTCCTCTGAAAGTTCTCCACTGCCTTAACCAGGAATTGAACTCACCTTCTTTGGGTCTGGTTTATCCACTGTGCCATGTGTCCTTGAGGACACATGGCACAGTATTCTATAATATAAAGATGCAGAATAATAATAAAAATAATATAATAATATTATAATAATATAATAATATAATAATATAATAATAATATAAATAAAACAAACCCGTTAGAGTTAGCATTCTAGATCTGAATTATTATTGCAGAGAGAAACTATTCACAGATCGAAAAGGAGGCACTGGGCATAATTTTTGCAGTAACTTGTTTTCACAGATATATTTATGGGAGAGAGTTCATGCTCCAAATGGACCACAAACCACTTCTTACGATTTTCGGTTCAAAAAAAGGTCTACCAGTCTATACAGCGAACAGACTTTTAAGATGGGGAACTGTGTTAGTAAACTGCAATTTCAAACTTGAGTTCTTACCATCAAAGAAAATAGGACACGCTGATGGACTATCGCAATTAATACCTGCGAAAGGTGAACCTTTACAAGATTTGGTAATTGCGGCATTACAAGCTGAAAATGAAATCAGTAAGGTATTATGCAATACAATAAAGGAACTACCTGTAATGCTGCTAGAGATAAGACGAGAAGCAGAAAGAGACAATTTTATTCAGAATACCAAGAAAAAAATAGAAGAGAAGGTGAGGAATTTAGCAGACAGTTTCTCAATCTGTGAAAACATATTATTGTATAATGAGAGAGTAGTAATACCGAAGTCACTACAAAGAAGGATCTTAAAAGATTTTCACTTAGGACATCCCGGAAAAAAAACGGATGAAATCACTTATGAGAAGTTTTGTTTACTGGCCGAACATGGACGATGATATTACACAAATGGTGGAAAGTTGCAAAGGTTGTGCTGCTGCAGCGAAAGAACCACCCTCTATACAAAATCCATGGCCTAAAGTCAACAGACCATGGTCCAGAATTTACATGGATTATGCAGAACCCATTGAAGGTTACTACTATTTAATAACAGTAGATAGTTTCAGTAAATGGCCAGAGGTTGCCAGATTTAAATACCCGACGACAGAAAACACCATAAACTGTTTACACAAACTATTTGCGAGATTTGGCACTGCAGATTGTTTGGTAAGCGATAACGGCACACAATTTACCTCCAGAATTTTGTGAGACATATCAAGTAAAGCATATCAAGATAGCTCCGTACCACCCAAGATTGAATGGACAAGCTGAAAGATTCATTGACACACTAAAAAGAGCGTAAAAAAAAGCCAAGGATGTACCGACTACAAAAGCGATACAACAGTTCCTCCAAGTGTACAGAATAACACCTAACGTGAAAACGCTATTGGGTCTTTCACCAGCAGAATTGATGTTTGCTCGGAGAATAAGGTCTGTGTTTGACAAGTTATTGCCAAACAAGAACGAAAACCAGTATACACCTATTGTACCCAAGAGATCATTTAAACCAGGAGAATGGGTGTACTTTAGGATGTTTAGAAACAATATGGCTTACTGGGAGCCTGGCACAATAATTAACAGATTAGATTAAATCTAATGTACACAGTACAAGGCGAGAAGTTTTCACATAGAAGACATATCGACCAATTACAAAAAAGACGGGTTGAGGAGCCAAGCTTGTCACCCGCAGAAAACGACGATTCTATGGATGCAATCTTCGAAGCGTTTGAGAGCCAAAGACCACAGGAAGACACAGAAATGAGAAGGTCAAACAGGAAGAGAAAATTTAGCGAACATCTGATTATCAACCATAAGAGAAAAAAATACTAACTCCCCGCAAAAGGGATCTAAGGAGTGGGGTGTTATGGGGTCCACCCCTTTTTCATACAAGTGGACTTGCCCAGTGTGTATTTGTACTGCTGCCGGTGAATACCCGAGAGGTAGAGTAATAGAGAGAGTAAGAGTGTGAGGTAACCACTTTGTAGGAGTCACAGTTGCAAGCACGTAGATGCAGAAGGAAGTCATACTTCGATACTGAATTTCCCAGACTGTATATATATTATTATTGCTACTAACCGCATTTCTGGATTTACTAACCGTATTACCAATTGTATTATTACGTCAATACATTTATTTACTATATTTCATTCCTGCATTTGTCATTCATTGGAGACCGGATTTCATCTCAGAATCCACAACAGTTAAGAACCCCACAAGGTCAATGTTCAACGCAATTCAAAAAAGGAACAGTTCTCATCGATGGAAAGCCATGACATATCAGAGACCTCCACCTATGTCAGAGTTCTGCATTGTCGGACGATGACAGCAGTGATATGTCATCTGAAAGTGACTCAGACTTGCCACTGTTTTTCAGTACAAAGCAAGATTATTTATCTACGGAACCAGCGGAAATAGATGCTGGAGACAATAATGATGATACTAATAATGAAAGAGACCAAGTGGGCACAAATGCAGAAGAGATAGGCAGAGCCAGTCCACCTTTACATAGAAGCACTAAATCAGAAGATCAGGGAGAAGTGTATAAGAGGAGATAACTTACTTTGTGTGGTAAAGTGAGCACGTATATGCCTGGCATGCAAAATGAGTGAAGGAAAGGAAAGGAAAAAGAAATATGGCCACCCTGACACCTTAATTTAAGAAAGACACAGTCTCGGAGCTAGAAGAATTCATGAGTGTGGGTGAATGTATACAATTTTTTTTTTCCGAGATCAGCTGGACATAAATATCATGATGTAAGAAAGTATAGTTGAGTTCGTTTTTTGAACGCGTTTGCTGCTTGTACAGAGAGACTTTGTCATTTGGAAAGAGATTACTTGGATCAATTTCGCACACTGTCAAGCATAAAAAATAACTTGTTGATATAACTTATTCAAACAATCACAAAAGTGTGTAAATATAAACTTGAACCAAGTATAATAATTAGTTTCCTGTTTAAGCTCTGGGGGAAAATGTTAAAAATTAATAAATGGTGGCAAGGTGTCATAATAAGCTTGGAGGGATTAGAAAATTTCCTCAGAAAAAAAAAAAAATAAACATCCCTCACTTCTATTAGGCTCCTAAGTATAAGCATTACTACTATAGCCTAACAATGCAAAACATTTCTAATGTTAGAAGGGAATCTCTAAACAAATCTTACCAGGAAATAGAAGAGTTCTGCCTGAATTTTAATATAAAAAAATAATTATAGTATAGGGAGTCTCTCACTTTGTTTGCCAGGACACCTGCTAGATGTTATTCTATTCAAGACTATGAAAGCAAAAGATTCACTCTCTCTTTCTTCTTGCTCCAGAATGTAGTAGGAATAACAACAGGATTCTTCCCTTCAAGGGAGACACACTCCAGGCAGCAGACTTCTTAATTTCACACCACCAAACAGTATCTCATATACACCATATGTGTGCACACATACACACTCTATTGTTAAGTACATAAATGTTTTCTTTCTCTTTTTTAACTATATACATGTAAATAGAATCTTCTTTCTCTTTTTTTTGTGAGCTATATTGTTCTTCATAGAAATATGTATGTCAAACTTCACCACATGTTGACTTTGTTTATTTTGAAAGCTTTCATCCTCATCAACAACAAATTGCAACTTTCCTGCTACAAACTGGTGACCAACAAGAACCACATCCATTACTACGTAGCACCTATTTGCTATAATAGAAAGCACTCTATTTTAGAGATACTAAAAAAATGTTTTTGAACCATACCACAATATGATGGCTTGTACAGAATTGGTTACTTTAGTCTTAGTAGCTAAAACATGATAGGCATTTAATGACTTCTTATAGTATAAATTATTTTTTATTTCTTTCTCTAGTAACTCCTCATTCATGTTGAACGAAAGATGGTCGAACCTGGTAAAACAGCTTTTTTACATCTTCTTTTGCCCTCAACTGAAGAAATTGGACCATCTGAGACAGATGCTTTACCTCCCTGCCAAGATCAACTTCACTTAGGATGTCAAAGCTTAAATTCTTGGGAAAATGGTCCATGCATGACTCTTGAAATGTAAGAATATTGAAACAACCTCTTTTTTTTAAGTTGAAATTAATTGAAAGTTAATGTTTCTTTTCAAAGTGTTGTCCATGGTTTGATTTCATTTTTTTAAATTTTAATACACTCAATAGACAGCTATGAGAAAATTACTTAAACATTGGACCCATAGCATTATTCTTGTGTATAACTTAAGAGTTTTTTATTATCTACTCTTACATTGCTTCTCTTCCAAATAATCCTGGCCATTTTTTCTCTCTGTTTATACTTTCATAAACTATCAATATCTTAAAATTAATATCTTCAACTTTTTTATTTTGTATCAGAAATTTTATCAGAGGAAAGTAAAACAGTTACATACAGATAATTGAAAGAGTATTTTCCTTTCTGTATCTTCAGGATGTGAGTGATCATAGCTCTCCACAGCTTCTTGTCTTTTGTTGCTGTCATCATTACTTTCTCTTTCTTCCTCCATCCATTTTCAAAAAATTGCCAGATAAGCTCTTCACAACTCCCCTGATGTATCTTATGAGTGTTAAATTCTTTATTTTTTAGTATTTGTTCTCAATACAGTTTGTGGATTATTCCTAAATCAAGCTTTCCCAAAATTCTAAAAAAAATTTTTCTGTCTTAATTTATCAAATGTATTTGTATAAACTATAAAACATAAATATGGATCTTTTTGCATTTCTACTACATTTTAACAGCATTTAATAGGAGTAGATAGGTTCATCTACCATCCAGTTCACACTAGCGATCTTTTGAACAGTAGAGGTTTATTTCTTGTTTGCTTAGGATTAGGTTTCCAGTTCCTTCTAAAGGTCTACTTTGACTCTATACTTCTAACATCTTTGCCTAAACTCTGAAATTTTATTTACTATTTATTTTTTATTTTTTCCTCAGTAGGAGTAGATAGGTTTGCTACTCATTCAGTTCATATTCCTCCCCAGTCTTTTGAACAGATGTAGAGGTTTATCCCTTGTTTCCTGTTTAGGATTGGGTTTCCAATGACTAAAGTCTTCTCATTCTCTTTTACTCCCAGTAGCCCCTTGATTGTAGTCAAATGATAAAAAAAAACTGCTTTCTTTTCTGCATGCCTGCTGCATCTGTGTCCTTCAGTTTTTCAATCCCTGTGCATTTCCTATTTTACCATTTCTCTTCCATCTGCTTGCACTTATCTTAGGTCATTGTACATGTTTGTGTAATGTAAATTTCTCTCTTCCATTATACAAGAGTTCCCTATATATTCATTCTACTATTGCAGTACCTTTTCTTTTATCATAATGATCATTCCTTCTTTGGATTTTATACATCCTAGTAAAAAGTATGTTTTCAGTTCTGTTATTTCTTACATTTGTGTCCTTCCATTTTTCAATCCCTGTGCATTTCCTATTTCATCATTTCTCCTCATTCTTCTTATCTCTGTTGGTTTTCTTCAGACATATACTCTTCATCTTTTCTTTTCATTATCTTCTTTCACTGTATCATTAGACTGAGAATTTTACTTATCATCCACTTCTTTTTCTCTTTTCTTTTGCACTTTTCATTTGTGTTTCCCTTCAAGCATTCCACTTTGAATCACCAACATAAACCAAAGCATCATACTTTCTCTTAATTGCAAATGCTTTTATGCAAATGGAGTCTCTATGGAGTTTACTGATACCAAAACAATGGATCATATTGCAATAGAAGGGATGTAAAAATAGAGAAAGTACAACTTTACATATTCTTGATAGAAAGTAAGAAATATCAACTCCTGGCTAAATATTTTTGAAGTATAAAAATTTTAAACACTTTACATTATTTACTCATTTCAGACCCCAGATCCAGCAGGCTGCTAAAATGATAAAACATACCTGGTTGGCCAGTAGAGACCGGAAGATCTTCAAAATGCTAAAGCATGCTATTTGTGCTGCTGTAAGTTTTATTTTTATTTAAATATATTTTGAATGATTATCAGGAAGTTCATGCTATAAATATTTACCCAAAAGAATTATTATTTTGTGATCAAACTGTACTTAAGTTTTGAATTGCTGAATATATCATCTATAGAATTCATTATCTCTATTTGTATATCTATCAGACTTAGATTTGAATGTACTAAAAATGACATTTTATAATTGTATAGCTACTTCATAAGAGCCAACAGTCTTTCCCCTGCCATCCTACAAGGTACCACAAAGAAGAAAAAGCAAACAAAAATATAAGCTGATAATGTCATTGAGTGAACTGGAAGATCATTCAGAAAAACATAGACATTAGCATGCAACCAAGACATATAGAGGGAAATGATCAGGTGCTCAGCTGTGCAACAACCATATGAATACACCCAATCATGAAACTAATGATGATGATGTTTATGATTTAAAATGTTTTTAAAATCCTGATTGAAATATATCCTCTCATATTATTTTATCTTCTCAATCATAGGATTATAGGTTAATCCTTTCTAATCATTTGAATGGAATCAAATTCTCTTATTGTGATAAAAGAATAAAAAATTATAATGCCACTAATGACAGATTCTTCTACTTATAGTACACCAAAAACTGTAAATTTGAAAAAAAAAAAATCAAATTATTTGATCAAACTAAATGAAGACATTTGCAACAATATTCTAAACTCTTTTTGAATTGTTCACACATACAGTTCTTACAATTGTCATCCTTAAAAATTCTTTTTAATAGTATTTCACATGTAAAATTTAAATTCTATATGGTCTGTAAAATTATTAGATGATAATTTATTAATAACAAACTTGTCTTTTATATAGTTTCCTAGTTGAAACAAGTTACAGTTTTGATTTGGTTGGATTATAAATGTTTTGTTATATATAGTGTTTATATATAGTTGTTTTGTTATATATAAATTTTGTAAAATTTTTCTGCTTTTTTTCTAAGCAGAATTATACTGTTAATTTAGATATTTACATAAAACTAGTCACAAATGAACCTGCAGTCTAACAAAATATATTGCCAAAAATGAAGAATATATATATATATATATATATATATATATATATATATATGTGTGTGTGTGTGAGTATGGAAAACTCTTACAGGCCTGAGGTCTGCTTTGTCTGTGGCATTTATTTGCACCGATTGTGTGTATCAATAGTTCTGAAAAGTGTGGATGGCTCTGCACAAGCCCCCTTGCTACTTTAATCAAATCACTTGTGTGGGTTTTCTGGCAGTTTGCCTTGATTCGTTTCTTCAGTGCCACTTAAGATTATCGCACAAAATTTCATAACTGAATTAATTGGTTAAGTTGTCATACATTGAAACTGATGGGGGAGTCCATTATATATATATATAATGGACTCTCCCATCGGTTTCAAGTTCATTTTATATAAAAATATATATATATATATATATATATATAATGAACTCTCCTGTCAGTTTCAACGTATGATATTTTATTTCTTTTATTTTCAATCAGTCAAATTATTGTCCATGATTGTCTCATTTATATATGTTTATATATCTATTAAATGGTGAGTATAATTGATATTATCAGTTTCAAAGAATAAATTAATTTAATGTTTAATTTGAATTTTATTTTAATAAAGTCATTAATTGTCTAATCATGATTGTCTCAACCCTTGTTTTTAAATATTTAAAATGGGTTGATTTTCCATTGATATCTAATACTTTTAATTCATGGTAGCATATATATATATATATATATATATGAAAAAAGTGTATATAAATATAAACAAATATATATGAATAAATTTATATATTAATGTACTTATTTCAATATCAGAGATAGAATAACATATTTGGTTGGATAATGACCTGGGTTTCGCTTTAGTGATCGTCAGACAAACTGATTAATGTTTTAAAAATTTGGGTTTATGTAGATTGCGTTTGTTAAAGTGGTGGGGAATTTTTTGTTGTTTTGTCATTTTTCCATTGATGTATGCAAACACATATACATACTTGGTCATCCGTCGGGACTCATACATATAAAACATATGTGGGCAGTTTTGGCTATGACACATGTATGTATATATATCTATATATATATATGTATGTTGAAATGTTGTAAATCTAAAATTATAAATGTCTCGTTGAAATATATATGTATTTTCCAGCTGGAAAATATTTCCTCGCATGTATGTATATGTGTGTGGTGGGGTTTGTGTAAAATTATGATAGGTAAAATTATTATTATTTATATTTATAAAATTTTTTTTTTTTTGAAAAAAAAAAAATGGAGTTTTATTTGTTATATTTAAAGTTGGTTATTTGTTTGTTTTTGTGACTGTGTATATGTAACAGGTAGAAATTTGTAATCCTTATTGGTTAATTTATATGGTGATGTTTAGTTTAATATTCAATGTGCTGGGTGAGAGGGTAGTTCAATTTAATAACGGGTTTATATGGTATGATGTGATAGTAATGTTTCAAGGGATTGGAGACAATGATAGTTGGCTAATAGTTATTGTAAATTGGTAGAAATTGTAAATTGGTAGAAATGATTAGTAACGGTGGTGGGAGAATGATAAAACCATGAATGTAGTTATAGTGGTGGTAGCTTGAACTAAAAAGTGTATTCCAAATTATGCCGTTGTAACGTTCGCATTGGCTATTGCCTCTAGGGTTATAAGCAGTAGTATTAGTGCATCCAATTCCAAGTCGTGTTAGAAATTGTTTAAATTCTCCCGACATAAACGAAGTTCCTCGATCGGAGTGAATGAACGAGGGAAGCCCAAAAATGGAGAAAATACTTGTCAGGCACTGAATAGCAGTTTCCGAAGAGCAATCGCGGCAAGGAAAGGCAAAAGGAAATCGACTATATTAAATCGACGACAGTAAATATATATCGGTAACCTGTCGGGATACGGGACAGGCCCTTTGTAGTCTCTGGAAAGACGCTGAAATGGCGCAGTAGAACGGATCAGAACATTACTAGCAGAATCGAAGAATTGGGGTTTGATTTTGGCACAGGTTGTACATTCAGAAGTCACACGTCGGACTTCATCAAGCGAATACAGCATATTCTGAGACCTTACAAAATGCCAAAAGTGCTGTACCCCAGGATGTATTAAGGAATCGTGTATCGATTTAAGTTCCTTCAAGGAAGAAGCAGCAGCACCACCTACTCTGGATAAGGTATCCTCAACTGTGTTTTCATTTCCAGGATGGTGTTTTATGTCATATGAAAAGGGAAGAAGTTCCATTTTCCACCGTATAATTTTATCGTTTTAATTTTTCCGCGATTAGCAGGTTTAAACATAAAAGATACGGCTTGTTGATCAGTAATAATAGCAAAATGTTTCCTGGCAAGGAGGTCTCTCCTTTTACGAACGCATTCAACTATGACATATGCTTCTTTTTCGACTATATGAAGTCGCATTTCAGAGGGGTTTAGCGACTGAGAAAAGAATGCTACAGGTCGCTCAGCTTGTAAAAGAGTGCCTCCAATAGCCTTTTCTGAGGCATCGGTTTCAATAGTAAATGGCAATTCATCATCAATAACTTTTACAGATGACTCGGCAATGTCTTTCTTAAGTTTTTCGAAAGAATTTACAACTATAGGAGGCATAGGTAATTGTTTATTTTCGACCAGTGGACGAATTTTGTGTGAATATTTAGGTATCCATTTCACATAGGAAGCAGACATACCAAGACACCTTTTTAACGAATTTGAGTTGGAAGGAGGAGGCAAAAGTGGCTTCAAACGCTCAGGATCGGGTTGGATAGTTCCGTTACAAATTTGATATCCAAGCACGTTAATAGAACGAAATGAAAACTCTGATTTTTCCCGGTTTATTTTGAGGTTGTATGTTGAGGCAGCCTTTAAGAAACATTTCAAATTGACATCGTGCTCCTCCTGGGTTTTACCGCAAACAGTTATATCATCTATATACGAAAAGGTTCCAGATAATTTGTTATCAGAAATGAAAGAATTCATAAATCGCTGAAAGGCAGAAACCCCGTTAGTAACACCCATGGGTATTCGTTTAAATTGGTACAGACGATTTCCAGCTTGAAAGATCGTATAGGGGCGATCTTCAGGGCAAATTTCAATCTGATAGTACGCTTTGGACAAGTCAATTATACTATAGATACGATACTGGGCTATTTGGTTTACGAGATCTTCAATTCGAGGCAAGGGGTAGGCATCAATTAAGGTGAACCGATTAATAGTCTGGGAGAAATCGACTACCAATTGTTTCTTTTTATTAGGTGACGAAGTTACAACAATTTGAGCACGCCACGGAGAGTAACTCGTTTCAATTATATCATCCTCAAGCAGTTGTAGAATTTCTTTTTCATTGGACTGAGCATCCTCCGCACGGTAATTTCGGGATTTAGTAGCAATAGGTTTGCAGTCAGGGGTCAAGTTTCAGAACAACTTAACAGGAGCACAACTGATCTTGGTTAAAGCGCAGATTTTTAGAATATCCTGAGATCCACCAAAAGAAATAGTGATACTCTGGTGTAGTTCTAAGAAGGGCACTCTGAGTATAATATCCATACAGAAATCAGGAAGTACTGTAAAGTCAATTTGTAAACATATTCGTAACCATTGAAGATAATGTCCTCAGTACAATATTCAGATAGTTTGAGGGAAATGGCAGATTATGTCATGGAAATTACGGAATTTCGTTTAGAAGTAGACAGTTTCATTGTTTTAACAATACGGGCACTGATAAAGTTATCAGAACTACCGGTGTCTATGAGGGCAGTTAATCTCTTTCCTTTTAATTCTAAAGTTTTAGTAACTGGAGGAGACCTATCATCGTCTTTAGCATGGGCTACTATAATAGCTGAGGTAGAATGTGAAGGTGCTGGCATGGTAGAATGGCAAACTTTAGAAAAATGACCGAGTTTGCCACAGTTTCGACATATCTTATCATGGGCAGGACAATAGCGAAGATTATCCTTAAAGTGACGTTTCCCTCCACAGTTGTAGCACTTGCCACGAGCAAGGGCAGCAGACAATTGTACAGAGTCACACTCCGTACGAGAATCAGTTAAGTCAGAAAGCATATTTTTAGTAATAGTAGTGGAAGTGGCCTCCTTGGCAGAATCAGTAAACACATTTTTAGTCCTAGTGGTAGTAGCAGTGGCTGATCCAATCTGAGAAGCGTATGATTCAGCACGAAAGTGAGCCTGTTCTAAGGCTCTAGCACATTGAGTAGCCTCCTTGAGAGAGTTAGCGATCATTTTCAAGCAGTCTGGCACGATTACGGGGGACCGGAGACCACATATAAATGCATCACGGACAGATTCATCCCTGTAAGTAGAGGCAGTAACATCTTGGAAGCAACAGTCAGCAGCAAGTCGATTCAAGACCTGAAGGTATTGGTCTACAGACTCATTTTCCTGCTGCAGACAACAAATGTCTAGCATGAATAACACTTGGAGACTTGTCATAAACACTTTTCGTCAATTCAACAGCCTGTTCAAATCCAGAACAACCCTCGATAACATCAGCAACAGTAGCACCAATGTTTAAATAAAGGACTTCGAGTTTGTATGGGTTTAAAGAAGCAATAGTTGATAAGTAATACTTAAAATTACGGTACCATAGTCTCCAGAGCTTGTTAGCCTTGAGGGTCTGCAGAAGATATATCAAACTTGTCCAGACGAATAATCTTGTCCATGAGGAGTTAAGTTCAGTAAATTGTTACGCAGTACAGAGAAGAAAGCTAGGATAGAATGACCTTTTCTTAAGGCTTTACTGAACTTAATTCACAGCAGTCAGTAATCAACAAAGGAAAGAATTTAGAATGAAAAGGAAGAAGAACGCAGCTTTTAAAGAGGAATGGGAACGTGTGAAAAGTCACGTGGACAAGAAAGCTAGTTTCCTTTTTTTATTCTTTTTTTTTTTTACGAAAATATAACATCTAGGATGTGCACATATGGGGTAAACCAAATAACAGGTCCATATATAAATACTGACCTGAGAGGGAAGAAGAGTATCTTATATTTTTTCTGAGACTGTAGAATTGACAAAGTTTGGATTTGAAAAAAATAGTAATGTTAGGGTATGAAAGATTTAGTCTCATGTTCTCATTACTCTATGCAATGAAAACATTGCAGCATTAAGAGATTGGAAAATGTCATTAGAAACAAAGAAAAGTGCTGAACTGTTATGTAATAGCTAATCTATATAGCAGTGAATGCTGGACCATCTTGGATGAATAGGCTTTGTCCATTGTGTTGAAAGTTTTATTTCCAATGTGGGTTGTATAATAATTTGGGAAGCTTTAGATAATAATGGTGAAGCTCAGACTATTGTTTTGAGCATCTTGAAAGCATTCAATATACCAGTCTTCTTCACAAGTTAAAAAATTATGGTGCCTCCAGAAAAGTTTTTGAACTGATTCAATCTTTCTGATCAAATCATGAAATGAAAGTTATCCTGAATGACCACTACTAATCCAGGGCTCTATCCTTGATCCTACTTTGTTTTTAATTTTCATTAACGACCTTCCTGATAGCATCAGCTCTAAACTTGGTATCTATGCTGATGACACAGCCATTTACTCCTATCTCATTAGTAAGTCTGATCAGTTTGATAAAGTCTTGGTTTCAGTCACTTTCCCACTGCCATAAAGTAGCTTCTCTGTGCCTTTTCTATAAAAACTTTCATGGTAATTGTTTGGATGAACTCTTCACTATGGTATGTAGATTTTATGAATTTAAGCACAGTACTAGATTGACAACAAGGTCTCATCAATTTACAGTTGAAGTGGCTGGATGTAACCATAAGTTCTATACTAACAGTTTCTTTTCTCACACTTCTCACTTGTGGAACTCTCTTCTGGCTCCATGCTTTCCAGTTAACTTTGATCTTCAAAAATTTAAATGAAATGTCAAGTGTTATCTACTGTCTTCTATTGTTCTTGCTCCTTAGTAATATTTCTCTTTTCTAATTCTTTCACACTCAGTAACCCCTTGTGTCTTAGTGGCTTTACTACCTTGCTTGGGGTAATTCCAATTATTAAAAATAAAGAGAAAAAAAAAGCTCCTAGAAGTGATCCCATTGCCATTGCCTTCAGTTTGTGTGTGTATATATTTCTTAGATCATTACACAAGGGGACATGCGTGATATATGCTTGTAGAAGTTTTCAAAGAAATTTTCAAGCAATTTCAAGATTCAGTAAGTTCCTTTACAAGTTTACACCTGACATCAATCAAATTATTTTACACCTGGAGAAACTCACCAAAAAGATCAACAGACATTTACTGTCTATTAGAATATATTTAAATGAAGGATTTATAACACTATCATAAAAATTCATCTAAATTTGTGTTTTCTGTTCGTCTGTATTATCAGTTTAGATATTACCATTTTTTATATTTTAGGAAAATTGCATGACTGAAATTTTTTTGCGGAGAGTTTCTCCACGAGAAGCAGATTTACTCCAAGATCCAGCTTTTCCAGCCCGAGTCAGGCTTCGGTATGTTGCTTTCTCATCCTTCAGTAATTTACATTGCATTTTATGAACATAAAAATACTTATTTTCACTTATATAAATCATGATTCCTTGTAAAAAGAAATGTGGTTGTGCTTCCTTGAGATTGAGGTATATTTTATTGAAAGATTGAAAGGTACCTACCTTACTGTGGAGCAATAGTTAGCAAGCTAGCCTGGGAGATCATTGCTACTAGAGTGAGTTCAATCCTCACTGGGTATCCTGTACGTGCGGACTTGTAGCTAATTAAAGTTAATAAATACCAATCTCTTTCATTTTCTGATAGTGTACTTAAACATAATTAAAATTTAAATTATATATATATATATTAAATATCAGTTTGGTTTATTCATAGAAACTTTTACAGAAAACTTGTAGAATGTTTATGAATAATGCGTCTATTTTTACAGATTATCCTTCAAAAAATATATCAAGGATATTAATGATAGTTAAATTTAACTCAATGGATTAAATACCATGACTAGATGTTTATAATTAAATATGTACATTGTCATCATGTTAATGACATGCAGATAGATTTTTCTTACATCCAAATATTTTTTAATCACTTCATTGTTAACAGTTGATTGCTACTCTTCTCAATGTCCCATATTTTTTTGACTACATTGAAAAGTGATTCTAATTTTCTTCATAGGAAATTAACTTCTCCCATTTGCTCGATCTACTTTGTTTTCCAATTCTAGTATTCATCTGAATCAATAAGAATTTTATGACGTGAATATTCTCTTTGACTTCTTTGAGGTATCAAATGCTCAAAGAAACAATCTCATTTCCATGATTTCCCAATAGTCTTATTTGTCACTACTTATGACTGAAAGCCTTCTAGTCAATTTTAGATAACTACTTTTACTGGCTCACATTTTTAGTGTAATTTAAAATTTCTCAACACAATAATTTCAATGATAAACAGTGATTTTAATCTCTATGGCTAATGAAACAAAAAAAATAGTTAATTATAGTACAAAATATTTTTTCTTAGAGATATATTTGTCAGTCTGGCAAATATAGATGTGATGCAAAAACTTATTTCAAATTACAGGCCCAGTTTTGATGCACTATTGATTTCAATGACCATAGCTATTAGGCAAGAACATAAATCAGTAATAGTGGTGGGTTATTACTACTGACTGAGCAAAGACTGACCAAGTGCTTTTTGCTTGTGAAAGAGAACGATTTTGTGTTTAAAAAAACCCAAAACAGATAGATGTTAATAGCAGTCAACCATCACTTTATTTGTGTTATTGGATAAAGGGAAAACAATTTTAAATGTCTTTGTAATAAAAACTTTTAATCTAGTTGGTTGTTAAGTGCTAACTTTGAAATCTTGCCAACTGTAAGATAAAAATAGATGAAGTTCTCATAAAAAGAACTGCATTGTGATGATGATGATGTGTCATATTTGATCCACAAGAGAAAAGCAATCATATATTGTTAGATCAATGATGTATGAGTCAAAAAAAGGAAATATTTCAGTAAGTACCTCTACAAAAACACTATACCTAAGGTTTAAAATGATTTTTTAAAAATGAAAAGTCTTTCTTGAATCTTTTATTTTAGTCTTAATTTCAAGCTAATAGATTAAATTTAATATTTCCAATAAGCTAAATACTTTGCTGTATTTCAAAATTAATTTAAGTGACTGGAAGGATTTTTTTTTAAATCAATAACATTGTTGATTTTAGTACCATTTTTAGCCTTCCATCATTGCAATTTAATTCTATTTATTAAAATATCTTTCAAAAAGAAAATATACTTTTCCGAAACTTTATTTGAGGAATATTAGCTGATTTAAAGTTTAATTAATCTAATTTGAAACAAATATTACTTACTTTAAGCTTAAAATATTGCAGAAATTTTTTAACACAGCAGTAGCTGTTTATTTTAGGTGCTGACAGCTTGAATAACAAATGGAAGTTTATCTAATGTTTTTCTATAGTGGATATATCTGTAAAATTTAGTTGCGGAATATAATGTGAGTGCATTGTATATATAATTTTTAACTATCCTGTCTTAAAAATTTAGGAAAATATTCTCTGTAATCTAATGTTTTATTGAATTTTAGGTACTTTGGCTTTAAATTTACTACAGTTATTGCTCTTATTTTCTAATAATATCATGTATGGTCGTCCAAATTTACAAAAATTGGCATGTTTATAAAATTCAAAATTCTTTTTAAAATATTGGTGTTTAATGAATTGTACTAAGCTTTTCCATTTATGATTAGTAAATAGTTTTTACTTAATAACAATATCACCTAACGACAACAAAGTAATGCAAAAATTTAAAAGATTTAAAACTTTATAAATTATTAAAATTTACAAAAATGAAAACAGTTCTTGTAAAATTCATTAAAAATTTTTTTCTTAAGATAATATTATCCATAATATATCTTATTAATAAAAGCAATTAATAGCTTTTCTGATTAAATAATGTCTTTGTTTTATTGCATTTTTTATTTTACAATTCAGAGCAGATTTTTGGTAAATGTTGTTCCTGTTTTACAAAAACAAATTGATGATTTAAATTATCCAAGGAGTTCTGCTTTTAACTAATATAAGCTTTAATTTGCGCAAAATTTCATGAAATTAAATAAGTAGTGGTGTAACAGATGCAAAATTACCAAGAGTTTCTAAAAAAAATTTACCAAGACTTTTTAAAAAAACATTTGTAAAATAATTTCATTCATTAGTGAATAAGTCTTGAATGTTTCATTAAAATCTAACAATTATTTGAACTTTGCAAAAACTTCCAAATCTGTGTTTTTCTCCTAAAAATAGATGCTAAAATTTCCTATACTAATTTTTGGTCAATGGGTTGATGCAAAAAAAACAAGATTTTTAACCAAAATTTCAAATGTTCTAAAAATGATGAAAAACTATAATTTAATAATCAAAAATTCATCTGGTCTTCCCTCTTAAGTTTGGGGCATTTTTTCATCACAGTATATTAATTTTTTAGCAAATCAGTGGTGGCACCTACTTAATATGAATTAAAAATTGACCAACCACCTGATTTTTCACTATGAAAACCTATTACCTAAATTTAGTGTTAACATTGTTGTAAAATGTCACTTACAAATTTGAAAAAAATTCATAATTCAGTATTAAAATAGGGACCAAAAGTCTGCTTAGTTGACTACTAAAATGGTAATTTGTAAAAATTGTGTATATTTTGTATTTTATTAAATGAATATATTTTCTAGTAAATAAATTGAAACAAAAAAAAACATACCAGGATAACGCTTATGATGAGGTGCTGAAAAGATCTTCCAAAATAAATTCTGATGATTAGTCATTCAGCCAAACTGTGAGAAATGAGTCAGGAACTCATGAGAACTTTTTAATGCCACCTTGTGTTAAAATTTTCTGATAAAGAAATTGAGAACTGTTTTATTTTACATAGATATTTTTCTTTCAGATTTGGAGGCAGTAATTTTCCTCCAATGATATTTTTCAAGATTTTTCATCAGCATAATGGACCTGGAGTGAAATACATCAGTGGGAAGCAAATGATCAAAGCATCATCCGAAGTATATTTTATCTTTGTCTACTATTCATTTTAAAATCTTTTGATTAGATAGATTAGAAATATAGATTAGAAAAATTTCTTTCAGTGTTTGCTATATTAAAAATAAGAATTATACTTTTGCAATATACTTTGGCCATATTATGTTGAAACACGAGTTCTCATCCAATCCCTGAAGTTTACCCACATCAAGCCTAATCAGTACCTAGATGGGTGATTGATTGAGAATACTAGGTGCTGTAAGCTTGGATGTGCAGGTGGTGTAATGGATAATGGCTAGTAAATAGAAGTTCCAATTTCAGTTAATTTTATATGCAAATATCATTGAGAAAGGGGTGAATCCACCTCTTCTCCCCCAGCTATGTGTTACTTAGTAGGACTCATATTAGTAAATCATTATTTTTAAAAATTTCTTACAATTCAAAAATATTTTTGGGCTTTAAATAACCTGTCAAAGGTTGATAAATCATAAAAAACAATCAATAAATCCTAGAATCAGAATGGTGAGGAGCTACTGCAGGGAATAACACTGTTTATTTAATATGTTCGTTCTGCCACCTTACAACATTTTGTCGATCAACTAATCCTCCTAAAGTAAATAAATACCATGTTCTTTTATGTAGTCTGCATAACATTTGGCAAGATTGTACTTGTTATTACCATGATTGATAAAGACAGACCAGGTCTTAGGAGCTGGTATATCTAGTTACATATGATATTGTTGACTCTTACCACCATTTCTGTTCCATCTGTAATGTTCTTTATGCTATCCTTGTCATATCTGTTATATAATAAAGGTATTGATTATGACCATGGATAAGTTGTCATAACTCGGACACGTGTAGTTGATTTTAAGACATGTTTATTCACTATCACTTACAACAATGTAAAAGGAAAAGAGGTCACTTAGGACCTTAATAGTACTATGCATCCCCCACCACTACAATAGAAGAAAAATGAAGACAAAACAAGGAAAAGTTCATGGAGATAGGTTTCTCTGAAGAACCAAGGAAGGCCATCATCTGTATCATTGGAAAATGATGACTTGTCTGCCACTTTATGTTGTACGATGGGTCTGATGTCCTTCCAGATCCCCATCTGTCCATTCAGAATGTTGATCATGATGGGTTGATACATCCTCTTCTGGGACGATGTTTTCATAGTTGATATCTGAGTTAATAAAAATTCTCTCTTTTGTCTTGAGCAGATGACATTGATTATGTCTAATTTTGACATCTTTATTGTTCTCTACCAAACAGGAGCAGAAATACATTAGTTTGTTAAGCACTCTTCCTTTCATTTCCCATTTTTTATCTGAGTGTATCTGTACTATATATCACCAGATTTGAGTTCAGGTAGAGTCCAAGCTGAGGTAATTGGTGGATCTTTTTGTTTATTTTGGTGGTGATGTTCAATATGAGGCAGGGTTGTTTGGAGATTCCTACCCATGAGTTGTATTGCTGGTGATGGTGCATCATTAAATGGAGTAGTTTGTAGGGCAAGAATAGCTTGGTCACTTTTCATTGCTTTCTTCAGAGTGCATTTAACAGTTTGGATAGTGCACTCAACAAGACCATTGGATTGTGGGTATAGAGCACTTGATGTGTCATGTTGGAAATACCAATATTTAGCAAATATTTTGAAATCTTTTGAGTTAAATTCAGAGCCATTGTCACCGATTACAATTTGTGGAATGCCAATTTTGTAAACATGCTCTTGAGATTCATGATGACCATGGGAAGATTGTTTGTCTGGAAGACTGTGAACTTGGTGGTATAATCAACAACAATCACATACATTTTTTGTGTAATTCAAAGATGTCAATGCTAATTTTGGTCCATGGTGATTCAGGAATTTCATGGAGTATAATTGGTTCAGCAGGTTGTGGTTGCATTTATCAAGGCAGGTGCTGCAGTTGCCTACCATATCTTTGATCTTGGCTGTAATGCCAGGCCAGTAAACATGTTCTTTCTCTTGGTTGAGACACTACTCAATGTTTTGGTGTCCTGAGTCAATGATATTTTGGACCTTTCCACGGAGGTCATTTGGGACGATTATTCTGTTCCCTTTTAACAGTAAACCATTTAGCATTAAAATGTCCTGTCTGTTATTATAGAACGATTTTACTGATGGTTGTACTTATTGTTCTTCAGGCCAACCATAAAGAGTACATCTAGCTAGGAGTTTTAGTGACTCATTAGTTGCTGTTTTTTTACAGTAAGTGTTGAGTTTCTTGTCAGTCATTACTTGTGATTTGTTGATCAGGTGTACATGACCTTCCATGTCTTCAGTGGAGATTTCAGTTGTGCAGTCATCTAAATATATACATGATGATAGTGTGTCAGGAACTACTGCATTTTTCCCTTGGATGTAATTGAGGGTGCCAACATGAATCGCTGGATGAGTGGTGGTGTTTGGTAAGTGACTTTTTGAAGATTGACAACAGTCTTATGGTTGTTTTCAACTTCAAAGTCATGTCCATACACAAATTCATGGAATCTTCTGCAGCCAAATAAAACTCTGAGAGCTTCTCGTTCCAAAGGGCAATAGTTCTGCTCAGCTAAAGAGGTGGCACGCGATGCATATGTTATGTGTTTTCAGCCCCTCTCACTCTCTTGTTCAACGACCCAAGTTTACTTGAATCTCTTGAGATTTTTATTGGGAGCAAAGGATTATAGAGCTGTAGTAAGGGTTGATTTGTGATCAAGTCTTTCAATTTATTGATGGCTTTCTTTTTGTGGCTGATCAAAAGACCATTCAACATTATTTTAGAGTAGTGTTTGGAGTGGAGCAGTGACATTGGAGTAGTTTGAAATAAATCTGCATACATAGTTTCACATGCCTAAAAAATATTACAAGTCTTCTTTGTTTTTAGGATTTGGCCTTTTTTTGATTGTTTCTATTTTGGAGGAGTCAGGTTTGAGTCCTTCTGTGGGGATTTTATGTACCAAATAAACTAGTTCAGTAGCGAGAAATTCACATTTGTTTTTATTAAGCTTTAGACCCTGTTGCCTGATACAATCAAATACCAGTTTCAGTCTCTGGTAGTGTTCTTCTAGGTCTGAATGTTTCTCGCTCCTTCAATTCCTTCTATCACATGGCCAATTTCAATATGAAATATTTTGCTTGCTCTATAAATTCTATATGGAAGGCAAGTAAATTTGTAATAACCAAAGGGAGAGTTAAAAGTGAGTAGTTTGAGCTGCTCTTGTCAACAGGAATCTGCCAAGAGCCATTACATGCATCAATCTTTAAGAAGTATCTAGCACCATGCATATTAACAAATATTTCTTCTGCAGTAGGACATTGAAAATGTTCCTGCTTTATTGCTCTGTTTAAATTGTGGGAATCAAGACAAATGCATAGAGTGCCATTTGGCTTTTCAACAATCACTAGCAAGTTTACCCATTTGGTAGGTTCACTGACTGGTTTGATGATGTCCATTTTGGTCATTATATCCAGTGCTGCTTCTTTTTTTTCAATGCAAAGGGGATCTTTCTGGGAGGATTGATCACAGGGGAAACTGATGGGTCAACAGTTATGTGGTATGTTGTGACCAGAGTTCCAATTTTACCAAAATAATCTTGGTATTTTCCAAGAAATTCTGGTAGATTTGCTTTGATATTGAAAATCCTTTTGATCAGTTGAAGTTTCTTACACGTATCAGCACCAAGAACTGCTTGAGAATTTGTTAGTGATTATAAACTTAACTGGAGAAATTACATTTTTGTAAGTTACAGAGACTATGCATTTGCCTAGAACTGGAATGCTAGTGTTGTTGCAGGCAGTGAGAGTGACTGAGAATTATTTTAGTTATGGATGCTGGTGAAGCTTGTTGCATATTCTTTTGAGAATTACATTTACCTGAGTCAATTTTAAAATTAACCATAGAACCATTAGTGTCAAGATTTACAGTCCAGGGTTTAGCTTTCTTATCAGAGTTGATTGAGTTAATGGAAGATTTATGCAATTCATTTGAAAACTGAATTACATGGTAGGGATCCTTGACTTTGATCATGTCTAGGGAAAATTTTGATTGCTCTGGATTTGAGTCAGAATCAGATAAGTCAGTATATATTTCTATTTGTCGCACTGATTTTTATGAGTGACAACAGATGGCAAAGTATCCTTTGCTGTTACATTTTGTGCATCGCTTGTTGTCTGCTGCATATTGTCCACGTAAGTGGGAAGTGGCACAGAATTTGAAGGAGTTTATGTAGAACTGTTTGCTGCATTGTTTGACATATTTGTCAGCATTTTGGTGAATCTGCTGAAAGTGTGCTCCACGTCTGTTTTTATTTTTGTGTTTTATGAGGGAAATATCCCTTTCTGGGGTCTCAGAATTTGTGAGTTCTTTAACTTGCCTTTTTGTTTCTTCAGCAGCCTGACCAGCTTGAATTTCCCACATCAGTGTTAAATCTGGTTCCCTAAGTAGGTGTTCTGTGAGACACAAGTCCTTTAGATCAACTATTAGAATATCTTTTACTAAGGAGTTGCATAAGTCCCTGAATTCACAGTTGCTCAATTTTCAATGTAGTTCCATCATGTAGCCATCGAATCTCTGACCATTTGCTTGTTTGTAAGTAAAAAATTTTCTGGGTTCACAATAAACATCAAATTTCACAATTACTTTTGTAATATTCACTTTATCATCATTATTTTCGAAGCTGAATGTGGAAAAATCTCTCTTCCTTTTGCTCCTATACATGTTAGTAAAGTGGAAGTTTGGACTTTTCTGGGTTTCAGTTGCCTTTAAAAATAATATTAGTTCCTCTTTCCATCTACTCCAAGTTTCAGACAAATTTTCCTGGTTGAATTTGAATGGTTTAGCTTCAGGCAATTTTTCCATTATTGGTGAGTGAGTTGGTGAGTGATGAAGAAGCAAGAAAGAAAATGCAAATTTAGGCAAATACAATGAAAAGAAGCAGAGTATTGAATTAAATATTCTTCAAATAACACAGCAAATCCATCTCTGATACCATATTATATAATAAAGGTGTTACATGCCTTAATTATGAGCGTGGATGGGTTGCAATAATTCAGGCATGTGTAGTTGGTTTTAAGGCATGTTTATTCACTGACTTCATTATCGCTTACAACAGTGTAAAAGGAAAAGGGCTCACTTATAACCTTAATATTATTATCATAACAATATCTGTCAAATACCACATAAATCTGTTTAATATTTCCATGTTGTTTACTGATATATGTAAACACATGTTGAATGCCAGAGTTTCTGTGATACTTGAACCTGGAAGTATTTTTATAATGGCATGTTGGTCAAATATAAGAGTATCTGTCCCAGTCATGGATACAATTTTTCCCCAGTTAGAAATTTCTCAAGTTTGTACAGATGGCTTATATAAAAAAATATTGATGTCTAAAGATTTTAAAAAATGAAGTTCTAAATGTTATAAAGAAATTGCCAAAATGAAGTCAGACAGTTTATAAAAAAGAAAAACATGAATAAAAATTGATGTGTAAAGATTTGAAAAAAAAGAGTCTCCCAGTGGGTATCATAAAAAACATGTCAAAATGAAGACAGACAGCTTAAACTTTCTGTGGCCAAATTTTTCAGGATGTCCTTGGCTTTGATTTTGTCAAAAACCAGCCACTTTTGAATTGAAAATGGGAGTGATTTAATTTGATAGTGAGTCTTAAATTTTTAGCCAACAGAGATAAGAAGTATAGCCTCTTTAAGGAGTTGGTTTATGAGCCAGTTTTGATCCACATATTGCTATATAAGAGGAGAAATTTTAACTGCAAGGTTTGAAAAGAAAAGACCACCTTGGCATGTAGACAAAGGATTGTTGCCTCTGTATGTATCATCTCTACTGCTGAAAGGATTAACTATATCTGGCATATAAAGGCAATCATCTGGGAGAAAAGATTTGACCACTCAGTTGAACTCAGTAACCTGGGATGATAAAAGGCTATTACTACTATTACTATTATTGTTGCTGTTGAAGAAAAAGAAGAATCTTCTAAATTTGATATACATTTTTTTTCAAAACATATGAGTAGACATGAGTTTATCACATTTTAAAAACCTGACAGTTGATCCCAAATTTAAGAGCACCTATCCCAAAAATCTGAATATTTGTTAAAAGGACCCAGAAAAGCAGCTTTACCTGAGATAGGTTAAGCTTTTCTCATCCTATTTTGACTTCCAACTTTGAACCATTTTGAATTGTGAACTTTTTAAAGTAAATTTCTTTTGTTGCTAAGTAATTGATTTATATGAACTGTTCTAACAGAAGGTTCATAAAATTCCTTTGTTGTTAAGGAAAAACATTTTTGTTTTACATGAACTAAGAGAAAACAATATTGAAGTTGTTTTTTATACTACTGTCTAAGTCTACCATATCTTGTGATAAATAAATTTCAGGCAACTGAAGATTCATTAAAGATGATGGGAAATCGCATTTTCTATGAGAATATACTTCGAGATTCCATGCAGGAGCACTATAATAGAATCACTGATGAAGTAAATGTTATAACATTGAAAGACTACATGCAGGTAGTATTTTATTTTTTTATTGCTTCCTTAGTGTTTTAAAACAAGTATATGCATTCTTCAAGTGATTTATACTTGTTCAAGTATGACACATCTAAGACTGGGTTAATTAAGCCTGCAGTCATAAACTAGCTTTGGTAGAAAAAAATTTGCTTAAAATTAAATGTCCATTTTATCTGCTCTTTTAAGATTTCTTTTTTGGAACTAGTGTATCCACTCATTCAAACCTTTCATAAACTAAGTATAAAAAGTGTTTACTTTTCTATCTATTATAAGAACGCTATTAAGGAAATGTTCAAAAAAGTCTTTTGATATCAACTTTGAATTACACTTATAATTAAACTGCAAAAAAAATTGGTATTCAATGTTCTTATTCTTAGAAGTTGACTAATTTTACCAAAATATTGACAATTTAAGTATATTCATTACTAGCAGTAGAGCCCGGCGTTGCCCGGGGATGTAAAAGTAAGAGATAGATCAAGTATCGACCATCATAAGGACTGAAAGATAAAATTGACAAAGATTATTGTTTAAGGTTGACAGTCACGTATGTCTTAATTAGGTTTTTTTTTGTTTTTTTTGTGTTTTTTACAAATTGGTCAAACTCAAACAAAAACATTGTTTTCAATCGTTATGAGTCTACTGATTGAATAGAATTTTATTATAAACAATTGTCTTGTAAATGGAATTTTTAAAGCATTCTGAATGTAAAATAAAAGAAAAAAAGTGTGCAAGACAATAAGAAACACTACCTGCCAAAAAAAAAAGTGAAGTTTTGTTGAAATCGGTTGAAAAATGTAGGAAATCTGATCTCATATATAAACGAACACAGACATACACCCACAAACAACCTGGGTTTTATAATAAGTATAACTTGATATGAGTTGCCCCCTTTCATTCTCACGACAGTGATGCCTCTTAATCGTGTTTTCAAATTGATTTCGTGCAAAAACAATTGTGTTTTTCCAATTTTTGGCACTGTCAGAACCACCGCAAGGTAATTTTACATAGTCCTGTGAAGTTTTGTTGAAATCGGTTGAAAAATGTAGGAAATCCAATCCAATATATAAACGAACAGACACACACACATACAACCTGGATTTTATAATAAGTATATATATGATTACAGTCTGGTGTATTTAATATTTTTGACATTGAAAAAGTTTCCAAATACTACTTTGTAAAGTTTTCACAATAAGGTGTAATTTTAAGAGTGACATGATTGCATAATAAAATTACAAACAAACTTATCACAATAACATCATTGTATATACTTTTGTGTCAGAAAAATATTTAAAAGATTTGTGCATTTCAGAACTCAGCTACCAGGTCACTAAAAAAAAACATGCCTCTCTCAAAAAAAAAACAGGAAGAGCTTATATAGCCTGAAGATGCCCAGGATTGGTCAAACAAAGGTTGCATGAGATGCTGTGAAAGAAAACTAGAGAGGGAATTTAGGTTTTCTCTTTTGGTAAAAAACACACACAACATATGAGTATTTTGCTTGGAGAAGCAAGTCTGGTGATCTTTCCCAGTGGACCAGTCATTACCTCTGGATGAGTTATCTTCAAAACAATCATTAGATATCCTCAGTTCGTTTTCTTCTGAGATGCTCTCTGTCCAATCTCAATCATTTTCTATAGATGGATTACTGGTGTCACTCGATCATGAATGGCTGAATGTCCTTTAGGTGGAATGGCATCTCATCTGTCAGGATTGTGTGCAGGCTGCTGATCTTAATGTGACATCATACTTAGAAGTACATTGGCTGAATGCGACCTTTACCTACATGCCATCTTCCACTTCATACGTCACTAGCGCCTTTTCATGTTCAGGTGGGAGTGATATCTGAATTCCTCAGAATTGGTAGTCATGGATAATATTGGTGTGATGTATTGTCTTTTCATGTAATTTTGTACCAGTACATCTCATTTATCAAACACTGCTTCTTAACAGCAATTCTCTCACTGTCCTTATAGCATCCCTCTACTATACCTTTGCTCATGAGGACATGTTTGCATTGAAATCAGATTCAAAATATCCTTAAACAGTTTTGCTTTGATATATACTGTCATTGTTGGTGAGGAATTCAGCTGGTGGTTCTCATTGAAAAAATAGGGCCTCTAGTGAATTACACTTACTGAATCCTACCAAAGCCTCAAATTAAGTGGGGCCATAATAGATTAGCATCAAGTAATTTTTGCTGTTATTATGGGTGATATCCATCCATGACTGACTCCATGCATCATTCATACCTAAGTTAGTTTTTTTTTGCTGGGGTGGGGGTCAAGCTTGACAGGATCCATGTTGTTCCCACAGTTATGTGTACATTTAATATAGCTTTATTGAAAAATCAGTTTTCATGTATGTAACTGAAACATTTCTCTTTATTAAGCCATGGAAAGTTCTTTATTCTTAAAATGAATTCAAAATTATCTTTACAACATTTGTTCATTAAAATGATCTGTGATGCATTTTTAAACTGTTTTCACAATAAGAAAATGACTGAAATATACATTTCACTTTTATCAAACTTTTTTTTTACTTTGTTCTCTTTTAGTATTTAGCCAACTTGGATGAAACTCCTGCCAAATTTGGTGGTAAAAGTAACTTTTGGAGATTGTTAACCTTGGATGGTAAGTCGTTTTTATGATTTTAGTTTTAGAAATGTATGAAAATCTGTTTAAATCCAGTATATTTGTTTTGTACAAGGTAACCAAAAAAGTCATTGCTGTTTTTGTCTTATTAGAATAAGCAGGTATACAGCAATTTTGATATATCATTAGTCCTCAAAGTAATCTCCATCGGCATCCAAAACCTTTTGCCAATGTGGCTCCAGCTGCACAACGTAATCTGTTTGCACAAGATCTGGGGAGTAAGGTGGATGGTAGAATGTCTGCCAGCCAAGACGCTGTATGGTATCTCTAGCCATTTGTGCCACATCAGTCCTGACATTGTCATAAAAAACCAGTACACCCTTGCTATTAAGCAGTGCTGGCTCCTTCTACTTCAGCACCTGTTTATACACATTCCAACTGATGCAAGTGCAGCTCTGCAGGGATGGCTTGGCTTATTGGTAGCAGCTCATAGTTCACTACTTGTTGACTAGTCTACCTGATACAGAGCATGATCTTATGTGGGTGTAGAGGTAGTCTTATGATGTAAGGCACTGGGTCACATGGTGACAACCAATGTCTGGTATGCTTGGGAGTGTCATACAGGACCCACTTTTCATCAATGGTGAGCAATCAATGAAATACAAGTACATTTCAGTATCGAAACAGGCTGTCACTTCTTGCTTGTTGGCTTGCTCAACTAATATGCTTTCCCTTTGCAGTGCAGGTGAAATCTGTTTCATCGGAAACCTGGAAGCATTTGACAAGATCACCACAGATTTGGCTATTGTCTTTCTATATGGCAGCCTTCAGAGCCTCATCATCAAACTGTTAGCATAGAACTCATGGTTACATCTAACCAACTCAACTGTAAATTGGTGAGACCTTTTCGCCAGTCTATGCTTAAATTCAAAAAGTCTAGGTACCCTGATGAAAAGCTCATCTGAACAGTTGCCATGAAAATATTTATAGAAAAGGCACAGGGAGTCAATGCTGTAAAAGTGACTGAAGCCGAAATGCCAGATGAAAACCAATAATATTGCTGAATTTTCTTTGGATTTTATGAAGAATCTCTAAATATATAGCAGACCATATGTAGCATAATATTCTAAGCATGAACTTATAAATGTGAAAGAGAGATTCAGGGGAAAAATTGTCTAACACGATACATTGAACCAACTTTCTTCACAGCTGACTTAGCAATGGATTAAATATAGTCTTTCCACCTTTGTCAACTGAGAATGTTAGCCCTGAGAAGGTGTAATGTGTCACTCTCCTGGAGATTAGCATAAGCCATGGTGATGGAAGGCAGAAAGGAGTATTTCAGATGATTAATAGATAGCAGTTTTATTTTGGTGGTATTAAAATTAACAAGCAATCTTTTGTTCCAATTAACCACAAATTGAAGGTTGTTTTTGATATCAGCTGTCAATTTGACTTTATCGGATCAATCAGACTTAGTATCAAGACAGGAGTCAATGGTTGTGTCATCAGCATAGATACCAAGTTGAGAGCTAATGCCATCTATAAGATCATTAATGAAAATTAAAAACAAAGTAGGACCAAGTATACAGCCTTGGGAGATGTCTGCATTACTGCAAAAAGGATTTAGAAGAGTGGCCATTCAGGATAATTTTCATTTCATGATTTGATAAGAAAGATTGGATCAGATCAAAAATTTGCCCAGAAACACTGTAACTTTTCAATTTGTGAAAAAGCCCTGCATTCAGCTTTATCAGCAGAAGATGTTAACACCTCAAATTGGTTGAAGAGAGGAGGAATTCTTATTTAGTACATTACAGGGTGCGATGAGTAAATTGTCGCAACTTTATATTTTTAATTTTGCGCATGTGTATTGTTTGTTTTTGATTTTGTCGTAATCACAAGAACCAAAGTTGTTACAGTGCCTTATTCTCTTAACAAACTGAGACTTAGCTCCTTCGAGGACACATTTACATTTATTAAGTGCAGCCACAAATATGTGCCTATTGTGGTGGGAACTGTCACATTGGTAAAGTCAAAAATAGTACTTCCTGTGGGCTTCTTTTAATTGCCTTTATGAATAAGATATATTATGGGTTTTATTGTCTTAAGAAAATTTTTTTTCGATGAATAATGAATTTTTACAAGAATTGTTTTCATTTTTTAAACTAAAAGTAAATATTTGTTTCAAATCAGATTAATTAAACATTAAATCAGCTAATATTCCTCAAATCAAATTTCAGAAAAATATGTTATTTTTGAAAGAATTTTTTACATTGTTATGGAAGATTGCCAAAAATGGTACTAAAATCAGCCATTTTAGCAATTTCAAAATGTAAACTCCTTATCAATTTCAAGTATTTTGCTTATTGGAAATATCCAATTTAATCTATTAGCTTCAAATTAAAACTAAAATAAAAGCTCCAAAAAAGATTTTTCATTTTTAAAAATTCATTTTAAACCTTAGGTATCATGAATCTGTGGAGGTACCTAGGATAAACATTTTCTAAAAAGATTCTCTTTTTTACTTCATAAAATTTTTTATATGCTGGATCAGCAGTTATTGTCTTTTTATATCAAAGCTGTTTTAATTTTTTCCTCATATCATTGGTTTTTTGATTGTGGGAAACTTTTAAATAATAGTAATGATTTAAAAAAAATATCAATGTAACAATTCAGGCTCAATCCCGGTTCACAATGAATGGCAACAGATGTAACCTTTTGTTGTGGTTAGCCCGAGGTGGATCCTGGTTTGATCAATGGAGTGATCCCTTCAATCCTGACCTGCCTTATCCCACGTTGTGATTGATTTGATTATAAGGAGGCCAAGATCAATTCGTTGCAAGTATCTTTGTGTTGGGCTGGTTGAATGAAGTCATACATTAAAACTGGAGAAAAAATAGCACTCGAAATATATATAAAAAATAATTACTATTTTTACATCAATACTGCGCACAATGGTTCATTAGTAGTTGTGTTTGCAAACCCAATCTCTTCCTAAAATGGACACAATACTTGGCTTAGCTGGTAAGTTTTGGCTTGCAGAGTTAGCAAAATTTGTTTTATTGATTTGGCAAGTTTGGCTCAAGGTACTTGTGTTCAGTAGGAGTTGTGGAATCTCTTAGTGACCTCTGCTGTTTCTCTTCTCAGCTGTCAACTCTCAACTGCAACTCCAACTCTTAATTGTCTGAATGGCTTTCACACATTCATTTTTATGGACTCCAACTAGAAACCGGTGCAGGGCAGGGTTTCGGTGAAAGTCTATTGATTTTGGTCTTGAGAAATTAAATTAATTCATAATTTTGGGGAATTCTCCTTCTTTCATGGGAGATGGGTGCAGGCATCGCTCTGCCTGGCTACTTCTACTCTCTCTTATTACCATCTTCCACCATTGCTTTCTAGTGGGCATGAGCAGCTCCTTCAACCGCCTTAATGTCTTTTCTATGCCTGCTGCCCTTCAGTTGGTGCAGGCAGCCCCTCATCCTTCCTTGATTGCTCTTCTGCACCTGTCACCTTTTTGGTCAAAGATTAATTAAAAAAAAATTATGGTTTCAAATGCTATTATTTCATAAGTGAATTGACACAACAATTGGCTTTCTCACTTTTGACCCAAGAGACACTTTCCCCAGGGAAATTTTTGCAACTCCCATTATGGTGACAATTCATTCAGCCAAAGGTCACCATCCTGCAGGTGTTCAATTTACTGTTTTTCATTCCAACATTTTGGCAAAATAAATTCAATTGGTTTAACCCAATTCTTCACATGTCAGATCCAGGCATTGTTTGCCGAAAATTATTAACACTTGACCTTTTCGCACAAACTGAGAATTCCTTTTAGACAGTTATCTGGTCTATTGTATATATCTCGATTCTCTGGGAATGATTTTATTATCAGTCTATCTTTCTTTATATTTTTTAACCCTTTTCATGCTAAGTTATTCATTATTATCTTGTTTTCATTGGTATTCCAAGTTGCCCTTATTATTATTAATTACCAGCAACCCAAATAGTGTTACATCAAAAGATAAAATTTTATGAAGTTTGAATTTCCAAATGTTTAATTTTTATAATTCTTATGATGCTAACTTTTATTGTTTTATATTTGGAATAGACCTTCAGTTGTTTTAAGTGCTTAAAAAGTGAATACCTCTAATTAAGAAATTAAAGAAAAATTATAATTATAAAATTATAAATGAAAAATATGAAAGAAATTTTTATTAGTTCTGCAACTACAATACAAATTTTTTCACTAGCTACAATACAAATGTTTTCTCATATTCCCTACCCCTCTTGTAAACATTTTGACAATGTAAACAATTCTAATGTAATATTTTGCACTATTATTTAGCTTCCTTCAGAATGTATATATAGAACAAATGTGATTTGATTCTTAGATATAATATAGATTTAATTAGCATCTTACCACAAAAAGTTTGCATATTCTTGTATTTATTTAAACCAAACTAAAATAAAATAAAGCAGAAAATTGGAAGTTTGTTTATTTTTTTTTTCATATTACAAAATATGTACTCCAATATTTTTTGACTTCAGATGTACCTCGTCATACCATTTTCTATGATATAGTAGAGTTTTTGTACATTGGGAAATTGTCTAGACATCTTCAACAACAACTACCAAACCTTTTATTGAAGCCTGTCACTCCTGAAATACAACTGCAGCATTTGAAAATCATTTCTGCTCTGAGGTAAGAACTAGATTACAAAATTGTTGAAGTTTCTTTTTTCATCAGCTTCCTTTACTTTTTTATATGCTAGGGTATTAATAATCAAACTGAAATATATTTTCCTTAAATATTTGTCCCAACCATTATATAGGGGAAAATAATTGCCATATGATCTTTTTCAGAATAATGCTATATAATGAAATGCATTCTTCAAAATCTTCTAAATATTAAAATAATATAAATAATATTAAGCATAAAAATAATGAATTACTCATTAAAAACTACATAATTCTAACATTTAAAGTGTGGAATTACTCTCACTTGGTTAAGTCAGTGTAGTGAAAGGGATAATCAGGTACCCCGGAAAAAAGTTCGTGTTTTGTGTGCGATCTGCCGAAGAAACATTACCAAAAAGTAGTCAGCAAAAATCTTGTAGCGAAGAAAACGGCAACTTACCTTGTCAAACCAAGTGACAACGCGTCATGTGTATTCTACGACGGAAAAAGTGACGAAAAAGAAACAGGAGTCGCTATAACAGTATTTTGATATGCAAATTACGGAGCATCCTATCCCAGCTGTTGACGAATGAAAAATAGGTTCTGCCGATAAAAGCAGTTGGTGTTCTCGATTCGGAGACAGAAAATTCTGGCATTTTGAGAGTGAGTTATTTTTCTGTTTGTTAGAGAGTGATTTTTTTTTTCTGACTGGTTACACGCATTGTGATTCGACAAAGATCCTTTACTTTCAGAACGCTTACACTTAAGTCAGGTTTTCAAAATTTTTTAGGTGGCACCTATAAAACAGTCTATAAAAATGGGACTGTGATTTTTCTTTGTGTTGTGGAAGTGAAATCAACAAACAGAAATGACAAAGTTTGCAATAAACAATAAGAAGAGAAAGAAAAGAATAGGACAAAATAATTTAAGAACAAACAATATATACAAAAAGTTACAGTCATGAATGATTTACACACAAAAAAAATGATGTTATGTTTTGGCACTATAAAACAGCTATAAAAATGGGACTGTGGAGGTGTATTTGTACTAAGTCGGTCCTAAAATAGATTTGACGTATAAAACGTTCGGAACTTGATATAATAGGTATAACACAGAGTAATCTAGTTGTGGTCGCTGATACTTTAGTATCTGACTAACTATCGTCCGACATCAACTCACTCACTGACTGACCGACCGACTCGTTACTCTTACTACTCCTACTTATTATAGGTGGGAGAGTCTATTAACTATAGAATAGGTGTGTTCCACTATACACCCCCCCCCTCCTAAAACTTTACACCATAGGAGTAAACAGTTTTCTTTATTTATTTTTTACAGGAAATATGAAGAAAAAACAAAAAAAAAAATTAATTTTTTTTAGCAACATCGTAGAGTATCGCCTACGTTTTGGATCCACTTTTAAATGATCAATAGCCTTTCTTTTTCTCCTGGATCGGCGTACCTCAGGTAAAATTGTTGCTGGCGTTGTTAGATCAAACGTATCGAAAATCACCTCCATCGGCATTTTTTCCGCGGGACTGCTGTCAACCACATCTGAAAAACGTTGTCTGATCTGGTTACTGCTCGTGAATTTTTCACCTTTCACCAAGTGCATCATATTGCCAATCTGCTTTTCTATTTTTTGGTACCTCCATAGTGTTACCAGAAACAACCTTCCGCTTTGAGCTTCTTAAGGATGGAGTCACAGTTTCTGTAGGTTCTCCTTGTGGTTCTATTTGTTCAGCCTCTAGCTTCCCTTTTCTGCTTCTTAACATTTTCTGTGGTGACTTCAGTTGACTTAAATCATTTAATAATACTGCATGTCCTTGGTTGTACATAACTCGCTCCTCAGTTTTTCTCGGTGTTGGCTTCATCTTTACTTTCTAGAGCTTTTTTTTTTTCACATATATCGTCGGTGTTCCCCATTCACTATACTCAACTTTTTTAAATACACCGGTTTTCTCTAATCTGTCCAATTCTTTATCTATCTGTTCAATTGAGCCAAACGGCATATTCCTTTTCTTTTTGAATACCGCCTGAGTGTTTTCTTTTAGCTGGAATTTTGCCTCCATGTTGGTACACGTTCCCAAACCTGGAGAAAAAACAGTAGAAAATGTTTCCTTTACTAATTTTTGGATGTCATAGTTTAAACTTTCTACTTTGTAACAGAAAGAATTTATCGGTAGATCTCATAATTGGAATTCTGTTATCCAATTCGTAACAAGTAAGTTTGTGGTATTTTCTATGACAAATAGTTTAGCTTTTCGCGTTTTTTTATTTAACATGACGTTTGTAACAAATTTGCCAATAAATTGTATTTTTTCTCCCATCACTGACCTCGCGATTTTCATTGTCTTTATTAACGTTGGTTTCCCCAACTTCTTCCATGTATGCAAATTTATGATAGATAGGTCGGAACCAGTGTTAAGTTGCATTTTTATTTTTTTATTACTTATTTCGACGGTAACAAATTTTTTGGCTATTCCATTGTTCACCTCGTTGGACTTTAATTTTCTTATTTTATTGTCTTCATTTTTTGACCTGCAGTGCAAGCTTTTATGACCCACTCTTTTATAGTTGAAACATTTTTTATTCCTAAAATCGCAATATCTGTACCAGTGTAGTTCACCACAAGCAAAACATGGCTTCGGGAGTTTTTGTTTATTTTTCTCTGGTATTTCACTTTTTGCTTGATAATCTACAATTTTAGAATTCTTTTTGGTAGACTGACTTTCTTTTTTGTAGCGTATTTTCCTTACATGCGAAACGCCAGACTGTTCTATCTTTTTCGAATCTTTCTTTACGCTAACATATCTTGTGCAGTCTTCTGCCAACTTCTGTATCGTAAGACTTGGATTGCTTTCCAATTTTGTCAGTACTAATTTTCTCAACTCTGCGTTTCTTTCCGATACCAGCCCCTGAACAAACACTAAGCACTTAAAATTGTTTGCGCTTAACTCTGCCAGCTTGAATTCTTCACAATGCTTGTTCACATTGACTGCATACGTTATATAGTCTTCTTCGTCATCTTTCATCAGATTCAAACATTTCCACCTCTTGTGAAACAAAGATGTCTTTTTACTAAATAATTCACTTAATATATTTACCACCTCGGTAAATGTCAACTCGCTAGTTTTTTTCGGTAAAATGTAGTTTACCAATTTGTTATGCTCAGCAGTTCCTAATTTGCTTAAAAGAAGTCTAACTTTCTTTCCTTCAGACCATGAGTGGTAGTCCTCGTTATACACGTCCGTATATTTTTTATAATACTCCTCAAAAGTTATCTCTTCATCTGGACTGTACGTGAATATTTCAATTGAATTCCATATTGTATTCTTTTGGAAAGAATCATTTTGTAGATTTTTCTCTTTCCTCTTCTCAGTTATTTCCAGAATTTTGTTTTGAAACTCCCTATGCATCTGTTCCATTTTTTGTTGAAATTGCATTTGTCTATTGAAAGTTTCCTCCTGTAGCTGCATCTGGACTGTTCTTTGTTGCTGTAATATTGTCATCTGTTGTTCCGACTGGAACTTAAAAAATTCCCGGAATATATTTTTGCATTCCTTCATCTTCGCAAAAATTTACACAATGCCTAAATATTGTAGAGGTGGTGGGGGGTCCTACAGATTTGCAATTCGTGACCTATTTGAGCAAACTGTATTATCGAGAAAAAATATTCTTTTCTCAGTTGAGAATACAACAGATTTTTTTGTCACTAAGTTGATGTCTTGGCTTTCGAAAAAATTTGCCAAGATTTTTTTTTTTTGGAAGTGTGAATCCGAGATTTTGTCGCCGAAATTATTGTGACAAGCAAATTTTTTTCTTTTTCCTCCGTATGAGTACGAATTTCATCACCAAATAATGTTATGGCGAGTGAATTTTTTTTTTTCTTCCACCATATGAATCCAAGTCCCTCGTCGCCAAATAATACTGTGGCAAACAAATTTTTTTTTCTCTTCCACCGTATGAATCCGAATCCCTCGTCGCCAAATAATACTGTGGCGAACAAATTGTTTTTTTCCTCTTCCACCATATGAATCCGAATCTCTCGTCGCCAAATTATGTTGTGGCAAACATATTTTTTCTTTCTCCGTATGAGTTCGAATCCTTATGGCCAAATTATTGTTGTGGAGTGATTTCACAGTGGAGGCTTGTATTTGTACTAAGTTGGTCCTAAAATAGGTTCGATGTACAAAACGTTAGGAACTTGATATAATAGGTATAACGCAGAGTAATCTAGTTGTGATCACTGATACTTTAGTATCTGACTAACTGTCGTCCGACATCAACTCACTCACTGAATGACCGACCGACTCGTTACTCTTACTACTCCTACTTATTATAGGTGGGAGAGTCTATTAACTATAGAATAGGTGTGTTCCACTATAACAGGGTGGGAGATGTTTTTGCATTCATTCCTCAATGAATTTGGAACCAACTCCCCTCCTCAATCAATCCATGAATGTACTCATTTCCCTCTCCTTATGGAACCAGAAAAACAAAGATACACATAAATATTTACAATTGTTTTGCAGTGTTTAAAACATTTTTTTTTATTTTTTCATATCTTTTTATCTTTTGATATTTCAAAATTTTTTTAATCACTTTTTACTTACAAAAGGAATAAAGATGGAGAAAATAAGTAATGTGGTGGGGAGAAAAAATTGGGGGAACAAAATAGGGACAAGCAAGAATTTTAGAATTGTGCTCCATTTTGAGCATTAAAGAATTTATTTAATTTTACTTTGCCAATAGGCAACAATATTTACTTACTAAGTAAATCAGTGACATTTTGGTCTTACTTTATTGTACCATTTAGAATTTCAGTCCTTATAAAGTGGTACTTTGTCAACATGTTTTGAATGTTGGTGATAGATAGGTCTTTAGCAAGAACTATGATACTTTGATTATCACAATAGACAGTAGTTTGCTCATTTTCATTTGAATTAATCATGGTGTTCAATAATTAAATAAGGAATTTTACTTCTTGTATTGCAGCTGCTAGTGGCATATATTCCACTTCACATGT